AGTTCGGGGAAGGTGTAGTGGGCGCTGGCCGTGCTGGCGACAGCGAGAAGGGTGGTGAGGACGGAGCACTTCATGGTTGGTTACTGTGAAGAAGATGTGATGATGGGTATCTTGATGTCTATACGAAGTACCAAAGCCCCCTCTATATATACGACCATCCTGCTGGCTTAGCAGTGGAGCCGTCACACATCCAGATTCTTCTATATTGCAGTACTATGCGCCCCAGACTCAGGCGTGTGGTACTTCATTTTTTCGCCGCCTTGCGCACGAGTAGGTCGATAATGTTCCGGCGGGTAAAAGAGATGGTAGGTGATGGGGGCGTTGCCGAACCGAGGTGTTGAAACGCGAGACCCAGTACAATTAATTCATGAGAAACATATGGATGTTTAGATGAGGTTAGTGGCGCTAGCATGTAGTCATTGGTCGGCAAGCAGCGTCCCCCTGTCCGGTAGTCGAAACACATGACCCGGTTCCGATATTGCGACAGGCGGCTTTGCCATCCTGGTAGATTGAATGGCGTCTCTAGTTGCACCACAAGCGTACGTTGGATGGAGGCGACTACTCGAAGCGATGCACATTGGCTGCTAGAATATATTGAGCGTGTGGACTGCAGTATCGTGGCGGCATGGAAGGACTTGAAGAAAACCCGGGACCAAGATGCGAAACACTATGGACATGAAGCTTGTTTTCGTTAAATCCGATCGCGACCTTCTAGATGCGTGATAATGACATATGATACAGTGGGGTATGGAAACATGTACCTGTTGATCGAGCGATCGTCAACGGGTGAACGGGAACGGTGAATGTGCTTGCCTGACAGCGAGCATGCAATGTGGGTCTCCCAGGTACGCCAATCTCAGGCGTTTCGTCTGCTCTCGACGAGAGCCAATTGCTTCTGCTCCTCTGCCTCGAACTCGCCGGCTTCGTAGTACAGATCCTCTTCGTCAATGTCGGCATAGCCGAAAATGCTGCGGTAAATACGCTCTCCAAGTCCCTTCTTCTGGGCCATGGCGAGTACCATGACAATGGGAAGGTGCCAGATGCTAGCCCAGAACAGACCTCTAGCAGTTCCTTTCTGTCCCTCAGCCCTCCAGAACTGCCAGGCTTTGAGTGCCATCCAGCCGTTGACGACGCTACTCGTGGCTACGTAGCTCCAGTCGGTTACGCCGCAATATGACAGACCGATGCAGACAGGAAACATCAGAATAGAGTATCGCAGTGCGACACGTCCATTCATTCCAGGGTTCACCCAGGCTGTCATGCGGTAGCCCGCGTTCTTGTACTCGTCGCGGATGGCCCAGCTCAAGGCGTTGAAGTGGGGGAACTGCCAGGCGTACAACAACGCAGCGCACAGCCATCCTCCAGCCGAACCCTCACCAAACAGCAGTTCTTCCCAAGTTCCGTCATGGGCGTACTGACTCGCTGCAGCCGTCCAACCCATGAGCGGCGGAATGCCTCCCACGATCGCGCCCACCCAGGTGTTCAGTATGTGCATGCGCTTCATGGGTGTGTACACGGCCGCATAAAGGGCGATGTTGGCGGCGCCAAGGAACGCTGTCGTGGGGTTGACGCCATAGTAGAGGGCGCCGGTACCAAGCACCCCGCACGCGACGGCGAAGATGATGGCGCCTCGAGGGCTGATAAGCTTCCGAACGAGAGGCCGGTTGCGCGTACGACTCATCTTAGCATCGTGTGCGGGCTCCATGATCATATTGAAGGCGTTTGCGGATGCCGAGCACAGCGCAGTGCCGGATGTGAGGAAGAAGAGTGTGAGGGTCGAGAGGGACGGAGTGGCTGTTGCTGCGGGGGCAAGCAGACCTGGTACGGGGTATAGCGAGTATGCGGCCGTTGCACTGAGGACGACGAGGAAGGAGAGGCGCGGTTTCGATAGCGAGAGGTATGTAGTCATCATGCGCTTGAGCGACTGCTGCGGGAGGCTCGAGGATATGTGTGCCAGCTTGGACGACGCATCGTGTGGTATTGGATATGCCGCCTCCGAGTTCTCTACTGCCTGCTCTTTTGCTTTCTTCCGCCGCCTATGTGGTAATACTTCTTCTGTGCCAGTTGTGCCATCCTCCTTCGCCGCTTGCTGCCCGCCTGCGTTCGCCGATTTGATAGACAGAATCGAGCTCTGTAACTCTGGCCCTGGCATCCAGAATGTGTCCTTCAGTAGTGGGTTCGCCCGGAAGTAGTCCTTGCCGAAAGCAGTACCGCTTCGTCCGGCTACTATGGCGTCGTCTCTATATGACGGATTGAAAGAAATTAGTCTCCGGGACTGCAGCGGCGCTTTTGCGAGTCTGCGCCAACATCGCAGACATAGTGAATTCGCATCCCGCGCTGCAATTGGCCGCGGCAGTATTGGTCGAAAGCTCATGGCGGCATGGGGTTGAGCTCCAGCGGGCAGTCGACATGAGAGCGATAACTTTTGGGTTGCACCTGCCAAGAGCCGAGGCGCGCTAGCCACTCAGACATCCCGCATTTCTACTCCACACTCGTCCCGTCTCCTTCTCAGCCTCACCACGTCTTGATAAGCGACTATACTCAGTCAGCACTAATATGCGCTCCTCACCGGATATCGCAAGACAGAACAAAGATTTGAGTCGCTTTTTGGCAATTATCCGACTAGGCATCAGCGGACTGGCATGGAGGTCTTTCGAGCTGGAGGCGATGCCGAATAGCACAACAGCTATAATACGCGATGCCTCGGATGCTCCATGCTATGATTACGCCACAAACATGTAGGCAACATTCAGCATAGGGCCCTAGAACCAAGTCACCTCTCGAGAAATCCTGGAATCGGATCGGAGCTTCACACCATCTTGCCATGCACATCCAACTGTTTGATTCAGACCCGTATGGCATCGCTCGTACCCGTCCTAGCCGCATTGATGCCCCCGGTCCGTAGACGCAGTATGGCCCCCACATGTTCAGCTCGGAAGAGTCCAGATATCGCGTAGTCTGCATGGTTCCAGAAACCCATGGACGGGCGTCAGCCTGCAGCAAAGCGGCGAGGCTATGTAATTCGCTGAAGACAAGTTTCCTAGAGGCTGTGTAAGCCACAAGGCTACCTTCTCTGATGTCTGTTGCCAGCGCATCGCTCCTCGCACCCGCTGAACTGTCGTTCGCATCGTCTACTTCTGATGGATCCTAATACTGTTATTGATTCGGCGTATTCCATCGGCGCAAGCGCAGCCCAGCTTTCGCTCGCTCTATTTGGAGTAGTTCAGACACTCAAAAATGCCCCCAATGAGATAGCGGATATCGGTATGTACTCTGCTTATGTGTATGGTGTAAATCGTACTCAAGAGAACTAGCGGATGAGATATCTTTGCTCGCGGGCAGCTGGCAGACCCTCGGAGAGATTCTGGATGTCCATCGCGACTTGTGCAAGCCTGCATTACTCAACAACACTCACTCGATCATATCGCGATATGAACAGGTTGCTGCAGAAATCCGTCTCCTCATCAATGAGCCTCAGAGTCTAGCGGGGCTCAAGTGGCCGCTAAAGAAACCCAAAGCAAAGGGTCTTCTGAAGAAGGTCGAAGGAATCAAGACTGCATTGATCCTAGAAATCAATGTTGTTCGACTTGCTAAAGAAGAGGTCAATCGGTCGTAAGCTTGATCGATGATATCTTGTAGACTCTGCAGTCGCTCATGTCACTAGGTATCCCACCTCCGACTCGAGCGGTCAACCGCAAGGCGCCCCAAGATTGAACCGGTTCCGTAGGATCGTGGAAAGTAGTGTCCAGGCGAACCGGCTCGTTGTAGAGAGCGCACAACAGGAAGATGAAAAACTCGAAGCTGACACACAACATCACACCTCGGCAGAACTAGACATATGGAAAAGTGGCTCTTCCGATACTGCGACATGGCTTTATCATCTTGTGTTTAGCCCCGATGAAGCGAGTCCCTCATCTCCGTTACCACAACCACCTCAGCTTCACCAAGCATTCGTGGCCGATGAAAATGCCGAAACGAACACGAAAAACTGTTACGTACAATCCTCCCAAGCTCCCATACCACCTAAGAGGCGACCTTCGGAGCCTGAAGACAAAGCCCTGATCTTATGGAGCAAACAAACCGAGCCAGGTTTAGTAGCGGATAGACTACTCTCCTCGTGGACCACGCTCTCATCCAGTCAGATTGGCCTCAGCTCGACTCGTCATCACGGCACCAAGGGTGCGGAAGATGATGAATGGAGGGAAAGTATATTGAATATGGCAGAGGCGGAGGCGGAGAAGGACGACAACTCATCTTTTGGTGAGTGGGAACAAGAGAACGCTCCTGTTGGGTCAGATGACGAAGCATTCCAGAGTGCGAACGAAGCTAGCACGATCGACACCAATGCACCCCCGTACAACTTCCGCAGCAATACCCAAAAAGCTCGTACGAGAAGTGCAAATACCGCTGATCGTTCTGATTCGTGGGCCTATACATACGGGTCGTCACCGGTTTACGGCAAACCCCCAGAGCCCCCCAGGCGAGATACTAGAGAGCCACATGTGTCATTTGGTACATCGTCTACCAGCCGTCCTCGCCGCAACAGATCCAAACAAAGAAGGCCCACCATGACTACCGTGAAACCACCGTTCTTAGAGGCCGACAGCAGGAGGTCTTCATCTCGAGTTCACACTATTCATAGTGATTCGATGGATTCAGCTCACAGTGCGCCCAGTCGTGATTATTTCGACAGTGATCATTACCGAGAGAGAGTCAGACCCGAGTTTTCCAATCCTTTCAGGCGTGGTCACGTTCCGCCATCTGTCAGTTACGGGCACACTCCTCCGCCACGGCAGGGATCTTCACACGAGCAACCACCCCCCGAGTACTACCAAGTGCCACCAAGACAAGCATATGCATCCGACTCACACTTGCCATATCCGCGATCTCCTCCGAGTCCTCAACAGGTCGCCGCGCCTGTTCCGCCATCTCCAATACCTGCTCTACAGATGCCTGCTCCACCGAGGCCTGCTCCACCGTCGCCTGATCCACCTGTGGACATGCAACATAAGACGTCTGAAAACGAGGCAAGAGAAGATGCGCTTCTCGCCAGGGTAGAAACATTGCTTCAGAAGCGCACCCAGGAACCTCGGATTGAGTATGAAGACCCGCCGTTCTCGAGACTGGCGAGGGTATTGCAAGAGCGCGAAGTTCAAAGCGAACGGGAACGAGCCAATGCGGTAACTGAGGCGCGCATGAAGCAGATGCAGGATGCTCATGAAAAAGATGAGGAGAGAATGAAGCAACTCGAAAGTCTCATAGCAGCTCAATCGGCAGAGCAGAGGCGCATGGAATCTATGTGGGAGATGGAAAGAAGGGCTATCGAAGCAGAAGCTGCAAAGCAAGCTCAAAGCGTGAGGGATCTGGCAGCGAAAGAGATCGCGGCCGCGCAAATGGCCAAAGAAACAGCTCAAACAGCCCTCGATGCTGAGAAGCTAGAAACCGAGAAACAAGCGAGGAAAAGAGCTGATGCCATGTTCAAGGCCGAAAAAGAACGAACGGATGATTTTCACAAATTGCAACTGCAGCGTTACGAAGAGCTACTTCAAGGGCTACGAGAGCAGCTGCTGAACTCAAAGCATGAAAGCGATCGGGCTATAAGACGTACCCAAATCGCGGAAGGCAATCGCACCGTGGATGTAACAGAATATGCGACAAGCAAACGAACCCCACTTTCGATATCGGCCTCTTCTTCATTCATAGACAGTTTCGCACACTTGGATACGAGGCCCGGTCGGAATAGCTATCACGACCGGCCCCTAAGAAGTTCCCGTCGCCACAGCTTTCGTAGCACCACAGCCTCATTGCATGCTTCGCGTGCTTCATTTGGTGGCACAGGCACATCGGACGGTACTTCGAAATCTCAGCAGGTGATCATATTCCCTGCAAAAGCCGACCGACGCTCCCAGAGGATGCACAAGCTACAGAAATCGTTGACTAGATTTGGAATTGAATCTGATTTTGAAGATCCAGAAGACCTGCATCAATTGCACACCAACCAGCTTGTACAGTATGACTACGACAACACGAATGATCAGTCTGTTAGAAGTACCATCTTCTGGGAGGCGTCTGCGCTCAATCTAGGAAGTGAGCTTCTGCTCACTATGAGGCAAGCTGGATGGAGACCATCCTACACTCGCATATCAGGTAAGGATCCGTCCCCAAAGTCACTTATCATCGTATTGACAATGCCTAGAGAAGGGCCAAACTCACTTTTTAGGAAGTCAACCGGTGCATACCTACTTCTTCGATCCCGACTACGAACCGCAGTTTTCTCCCTCTGAGACCGTACCAGGCAAGGAATCGATCACTATCCAGAAAGCCCTCGTGGAAGAATATGCGCTGATCGAACTGGGCTTCAAATTTCATACCAACGACACGGGAGTCTATATTCTCGATGGCAGATTGACATATGTAAAGAATTTCGCTCATTGTCAGTACAACGCTCACGCTAACGGTCCGTAGAATGATATCGAGACGCTGATCGAACGGTCATTTCTGATGCGAGAAAACAACCATCGACGACTACACCGCCAGCTACAGTGGCACTTCGACAAGGATCCTGAGGTACCCTTAAGTGCCTACCCGGCTACGTATGCGCCATCAGTGCACTCCATACCGTCTGTGTACTCTGGCGAGAACTCCACTGCCTGCGATGACACCGACACAGAGACGCGAGACAAAAGAAACCCAAGCTCAGCAGGTTCTGATGCCGATCAATCAGAGATTGGCGATGTCAGTAGATTCCTTGTCCCTCGATCTGCGGTGTCAAGAAGATCAGCAGCGCCGTCGTCGGTGGCTTCACGCACTTCGAAATCCACGAATCCGTATCGGAAGTATATGAACGCGGCGGAGGATAGCGGGACCGAAAGTGTGCCCAGGTCATCTCGTTCTCCAAGTCACTTCGATTGAGGGCGTATGTGTAGATATTAAGTTAGACGCACAAAGGAGTGTATAGAGGAGTACCACTGTCTATACAAAAAGAGCGCGCCTCACTGCTCTCGTGGCTCTGTAGCCTCTGGCTCTAACGCATTCACAATTATCGTGAATCCATCGTGTAAAAAGAGTCAAACACTGATATCCGCGTCTATCCTGCGTACCTCGTAGAATGTGTTCGCGCCATGAGTAGTTGCCCAGGTGGTCTTCCGCTAGCCCATGACGCAATCGGCATCCCGAGAATCGGTATCATTCCGAAGCAACACCCAAAACTTCGTGTCGCAGCATCACGCCTTCTACAAGCCACCTTGACACGTCTGCGCTCTAGTTTCTTTGCGCATTCTGTACATGCGCTTCAAGCACTTCCTCGCCCTATCAGACCCACGTCTTTACACCCTCGCCAACTTCCGCGTCCGGTCCCATTGGCGCACCATGGCCGCCGCCCCGCCCCCAGATCGCCCGATAAAGCTGCTGATGCTCCATGGCTACACGCAATCAGGATCACTATTCCAAGCCAAGACCGGCGCACTGCGCAAGACATTACAAAAAGCCTTCCCCAAAGGCATCGAACTTGTATACCCTACTGCGCCGATACGTTTAACCCCCGCCGACGAATCGTTCCTAGCGGGAAACACAAGTAAAGATGGCGAGGGCAAAGATGCAAAGGACGGAGAGGAGCAAGAAATCGATGCATGGGCTTGGTGGAGGAGGAAAGGCACGGGGGAACCATACACATACGAAGGCATGGAGCAAGGGCTGGAGCGCATCGCAAGCGTGTTGAAAGAACAAGGTCCTTTTGACGGTGTCGTGGGATTCTCACAAGGTGGAGCAGCGGCAGCTATGGTCGCGAGTTTGCTCGAGCCAGGCCGTCGCGCCGCATTCGAGAAGCTGTATCCTGAGGGCGGTATGAGGTTCCCAGAGTCTTTCGAAGAGGACACCGGGTACATGGAGGGCACAATACATCCGCCGTTCAAGTTCGCGGTCAGCTATAGCGGTTTCGCAGCGCGTGGAAAGAACCCTTATCACGCGTTCTATGAGCCTAAGATCAAAACGCCGATGCTACATTTCCTAGGTACGCAGGATGTCGTGGTTGAGGAGGCGCGCAGTCTGGCATTGGTCCAGGCTTGCGAACATAGCGAGGAGAAGTACGTTGTGTATCACCCTGGGGGTCACTTCCTACCAAGCACGCAGAAAGCTAGTGTTAATGCGTTGATTGGGTTTATCAAGGAAGTTTTGCACGAACAGCAAGGTGATGGAAAGAAGGAAGAGGAGAGTGTTGAGGATATGGATGTGCCGTTCTAATGTTGAAGGCGGACATATTTAGAGGTCTTGAGAGGGTTGATTTCTACACAGGAGCGAGGCGTTTAGGTAGACTCGCAATAGACAATATACTAAGGACGGCCGCGAACGTGCAGCTCTTAATGCCATGCAAGACGCGGGGAGCGCTGTCACAAGACCAGGCGAATGCGCACGGGCCCTCCTACCCCATTGTTTGGGTTGGCGCCTTCCATGTTTACATGAGTGCTGCCATCCCGAACACCACCACCACACACCAAATCGCGACTCCACCATGGCGCAAGCAGGCAAAGAGAATATCGCCGACGGCCTAATCGCGAATGGATCGTTCAAGGCGTCGACGCAACCTTTGAAGAAAGCAGCATTATCACCAAAGAAAAAGACGCGTAGCAAGAGTATCGGCCCTGGGGGTCTGGGGGAATTGGAAGCGCCTCCGCTGAAGGAGAGTTTTGGAAACCGCAGAAAGGTATGCTTCGTATACGGGGTTGTAGGAGTGAATGCTGACCAAATAGTCTGCGTTTATACCCGCCGTCAAGTCAATTCTAGCCTCGAACGATGAAGATGAGAAGAAGCGGCGCGAAGCGCGTCGCAAGTCACTGGGTACGTGTTTCGGGCGTGAAATTGACCTGTAGGCTTGACTAACAATTGTTTAGCAAGGCGACGCGTGTCTTTCGCCCCGGAAGCCACTCTACACACATGGGACGTAGTCGAGTACATGCGCGATGCGACCACCTCGTCCGCCTCATCGGAGGCTACACGCAGAGCCTCGAACGTCTCACAAGCATCCACACCGGCATCGCCTGCCCCTCCATCGGACCCCGCCGAACCGCCGTCTACACCACCAGAACAAGCCGAAGAGCCTCAACCAGAGCCCAGTTCGTCGCCTGAGAGCCAGCGCGCGCAACACCAAAAGAAGAACCGCCGAAGTTCAGGCATACCGCCAATGAACTTCAACAACCCCGACGACGTCTACTCCTCAAGCCCGCTAAGTGGGGACAATGCTTCGCCTGGTGGAAACGATGACGGGAGCAGCGACTCTGAGGATATGGATATCGACGATGCCACAGAAAGTCTTGGAGCTTCACCCGATGTTGAGGACTCATCGCAGAGTAGCGCTCGACTGGATGCTGCGCTACGCGAGGCTGCGAACTTGGCAGGCACTCAGAAGTTGGACTTCGACGACGATGATGGAGACATGAGCATGGAGATCGCCCAAGACGAAGTTACTGCATCTTTCAAGCCCTGGGCAAAGAAGAGCTTCGTCGCACAATATGACAAGGAGAATGCAAGCCCTCTTTTCTCCCCAGCACGCACCGTAGCCGGCGAGGACGACGACATGAGTATGGACATCACGCGTGCAGTAGGCCGCATCGTACCTCCGCCACCACAACAAAAGCAGCCGGAACAACAGCAACAACAGCGCTCAGACGCAGCGAGCTCTGACGTCGACGACGATGACATGACCATGGACCTTACTATGCCACTTGGAAGCATACAGGCGATGGCGGCATCTTACAAACCAGCAAACAGGAGGAAGAGTCTTAAGAGGAGGGTCTCATTGCTCGATGAAAACCAAGGCAGCCCTGCAAAGCGCACTGCAAGCCGGCGTACCAGTTTGCGACAGCGTCGACAATCCGAAGAGCACGGCGAAGAAGACGCGACCATGGACCTCACAATGGCAATTGGAGCGATTAAGAAAGCGCCACAGCCGGAGCCAGCTCGACGTGCTAGTGTTGGAAGCGTCGTTGATGATGCGACGATGGACTTCACATTGGCCGTAGGCAGCATTAAGAATGGCAAACAACAAGTACAGGAAGATCAGGAAGATGAGGTCGAAGATGAAGACCTTTCCATGGAGTTCACCAAGATTGTTGGACCAGGTATTAGGCGTGCCGGCAGCTCAACAACGACACCACAAACACCCGTAGAAGACACACCCGCTTCAGCAACCAAAACACCGACACCGCGAAAGTCTCCGAAGAAGTCGCCTGGGCGAAGAAGGAGCTCCATTCTGGGGGCCGAGGCCGGATCAGCGCCTCAGGCCCTGCAAGACATCACTTCCAGTACGACCGGCGATGTGGCATATCCCACCCTTGACCCTGGTACGCCAGAGATCGTCAGGCAGAAGGATATTGAGGAGGTCGAGCCTTCGCCTTTTGTGCGCCGGACTCCGCTGAGTGCGACCAAAGAGAAGGAAGCTGTCGCGACTCCTTCAAACCCTACGCCACAGAGGACACCCATGATGATTCCTGAGGACCCAATTGCAGCCACAATACTTGACCGGCGTCGCTCGTCCTTGTCCACAGTGCAGTTCAGTCCTCTGAATGCACCACGTCAGGAGCCTACACTCAAGAGCACTGCACTTCTGAGTAATAGCATCAAGCTGTTATCCACCCCACGAAAGCAAACATTAATGTCACCAGTGAAGAAGGGGATGACACCGAAGAAGTCACAGACTCCTCAAAAGCAGCCAACGCCGAAGCAGCCGACACCGACACCCAAGAAGGGGAATCTCAGGCAAAGCATGAGCCCAATGAAGCGCGTCGCTTTTGGTGAAGAGCCAGAGGAGGAGAACAACGACGAGGGTGGTGTGGCAGAAGATATGTCGGATGTTGAGCGAATCTCGTTACAAGACTTCCTGGACATGACCAAGATTCGCTTCATGGATCTTAGTACGACCAAGCGACGTCATACTGCTGCTCCTTCCGCTTTCCACGATGTGGAAGTAGAGGAAAAGGAGGAATCTCTAGATCGCTACGTTGTGGCTGGAGCGTGCACCTTGCCTGAGTACGAGCTGTACCAGCATGCATGCCACGAGATGAAGAAGTATATCTCAGACGGTCGCCACTTTGTCCGTACTATGGAGGCCAACGTACTAGAAGAGAACCCATTGCTCTTCAGCGAGTACCTCACTGCACCCCCGGACCAGCGCGCTGTCATGGACAACCAGTTCAAGAACCTCAAGACTAACGCGCGCCTCGAGGCTCGTGGAGAGTGGTATACATGGCGAAGCACGCTGCTGCACGATCTCAAAGCTGGTCTCCTCCACACCATGGACGGCTTCAACCACGACGAATCCACACTAATCAAACAGGAGCGCCTTCTTGACGAGACATTGCCTCCTCTAGTTGAGAAGAAGGAACGTCTGTCCACTGAGTGTAAGCAACTACAGCAGCGTCATGATGAACTCAACAGCTGTGACCGGGAAGAGCTTGAGCAGACGAGAGAGAAGC